ACCTCAATTAATTGGCGGATTAAAACAATTCAAAACTCAACAGTGAGGAAGATGGTGATCGGCAATAGAGAAGCAGCGGCGTCCAGATTCTAGGCAATTCGGACGGCGACCTGAGCGATGGCAGCGGCTGACCTCTCCCGGTCGAGCATCGTCTTTGTTGAGCTCTGTTCCGATCGCAGGGTACTAACTTCGTCTCTCCCGCGGCGGCAACCCAAAACTCCGTATAGTTTTTCTTCAATTGTGTGTGCGTGTGTATATATAAAGGGGATGGGTTTGGGGGATAATTCCTATTCCATATACGGGTAGGTTTAGGAATTATATTATTTTATTATTATAAATTCTTATATTTACTTATTGAACTGTAGTGTCTATTTTACTTACCATACTTTATACCTAAGTCCAAATTTAACAAATTATATACCGTTGGTCAACATTTTACGAGACCTATCCGAAAACTCAATTTTCATCTAAAACAGATAACTTTACAAATAATTCATATTTTAGAGTAAATAAATTTAATATTTATTTTTATTAAAATCGCGGCTAACTACTAAGCCGGTTTTTGGGTCGTTACAGATGTTGTTCCGTGGAGATAGCGCAAGACGCGCTTCATGGCCGAGACATGAGGCGTGCGTGGCTCATGGAGGAATAAACAAAGTTGCTGGACGGCATAAGTAATGTCAGGACGAGTGAAAGTGAGATACTGTAGGGGCCCCACAATAGAGCGGTATAGAGATGGATCTGGCGCAGGTGTGCCTCCTAAAGCTGATAGTTTCCCTCGTGTATCAACCGGGGTGGATACCGGTTTGCAGTTGAGCATGCCTGCTCGCTCAAGAATGTCGTAGAGAAACTGAGTTTGTGTCAAGAACAGGCCATGAGAGGTGCGTTGGACATTGATCCCAAGGAAAAAGTGTAGATCCCCATATATCTGTCATGGCAAACTCACCCTTCAGTCGCTGTATTACCCGATGTAGAAGTTCCTGCGAGGAAGCGGTGAGAATAATGTCATCAACATATAAAAGTAGGAAAGCCATCTGGGACCCTTGTCCATAAGTGAATAAGGAAGTGTCGCTCTTGCACCCGCGGAAGCCAAGTGTGAGAAGGAAGCCGGTGAATCGTTGGTACCAAGACCGCGGTGCTTGTTTCAGTCCATAGAGCGCCTTATTCAGCTTACACACACAATGGGGTCGGGCAGGATCCTGTAATCCAGATGGTTGGGCCGTGTACGCTGTCTCTGTAAGGGCGCCATGGAGGAAGGCATTCTTGACATCTAGCTGGTGGATTGGCCATCCCCGTGACACGGCCAGGCTGAGAATAAACTGAATGGTTGCCGGTTTGACCACCGGGCTAAATGTCTCATCATAATCAATGCCATGGCGCTGATTGAATCCACGAACAACCCATCGAGCTTTATACATGGACAGTTCCCCTGTAGGGCTGAGTTTGTTCTAAATAGCCATTTACCGGAGATAACATTTTGGTTAGGGGAGGGAGGTACTAAATCCCATGTATTGTTAGCAATCAAAGCATTATATTCATCTAACATAGCATTGTATCAATTTTAATCTTTAAGTGCACTACGGTATGTGGGGGGATAGGAGATATACTGGCAACGGTGTTTAGGTTTAGAACACGTTTGGGGCAGAAAATCCCGGCCTTGGCGCGGGTGGTCATGGGGTGGGTGGGCTGGTGTGGCTGGTCTGGTTCGGGTTGCT